CAGACAGGCAGGCGCTTTGTCTACTACACGAATTCTATTGCTGTACTCAACTGGAAAACCAAAATGTTTCCACACAGATGACTTAAATGTGTCTGGGGGATCTGCAATCTCAGTACTATGTGAAGCAGCCGTCCTGCGTCCAGTAGTAACGAGCGTGATGCTTACTCAAGGCACATGACATGACATGCACTAAAATACTAACTTTAGAATATAATATTTAGAAAAATCCTCATCATTACTAAAACAATTTAATCAAATATGATATTAAAGATGTGTTTAAATCGGTTCATTTAGTTAGAGACAAGTGACGTCAACCTCAACAATGGGCAGCAGGGGGCGTGAGAGTACCGCGGTACGCCACGAGAGTTTCGCGATACGTATCGTGGTTGGTGTATCGCGATATTTCGGTTCGGTTTTAATATCGTTACACCCCTAATATTGAGCCGTTTACTTCATCTGGTAAAATTATACTCAATATTGCAATATGTATCGCAGAAAAAAATTATTTTGCAATGTTATTTTTTACAATATTGTGCAGCCCTAAATTACAGCATGCATGCATATATACGTACGTACACACACACACACACACACACACACACACACACACACACACACACACACACACACACACACACACACACACACACACACACACACACACACACACACACACACACACACACACACACACACACACACGATCGCCTCGCAGCAAGAAAGTTGCTAGTTTGATCCCCAGCTGGGTCAGTTGGCATTTCTGTGTGGAGTTTGATCTCCCCGTGTTTGCATGGGTTTCCTCTGGGTGCCCCAGTTTCCCACAGTCTAAAAACATGTGGTACAAATGAACTGAATAAGCTAAACTGGCCGTAGTGTATGGTTGTGGATGAGTGTGTATGGATTTTTCCCTGCATTGTGTTGCAGCATGGAAGGGCATCCGCTGTACAAAACATTTGCTGGGTTAGATGGCGGCTCATTCCGATAAGGCAACCCCTGATGAATAAAGGGACTAAGCTGAAGAAAAATGAATGAATGAAAAAGGAAAACACTGGATGAAAAGCAGACAAAAAAAACAATAGAAAACAAATAATATTAATGCAAAACTCATTATCTTGACTTTCAATTCCCATTTCTCTTCCTCGTGTTTGGTTGTGTCTCCACAGGTCAAAATGAACAACTCTATCGCCAACTTTACATTCTCTCCAACTCTTCTCTACATCAACACGACCTTAAGAAATGCCACGTCCTACGAAAACAACACGCTTACGCAGTTCACCAATGCCTTATCCACCATGTCAACACTTACTCAAGCTAAACTCACCCAAACCACAACTAAGACCACCGTTACAACCACCACACCAACAACAACAGCAGCACCAGAACCAAACATCCTAGAATCAATAAACCTTCCATACATGATAGCAGAGCTCATCATAGCCCTCCTCTCCACCGTTGGCAACCTGCTAGTCTGTGTGGCAGTTGGACTAAACAGGAAGCTCCAAACAGTCACTAACTACTTTCTAGTATCACTAGCGGTGGCGGATATCTGCGTGGGTGCATTAGCGATCCCTTGCGCCATCATGACAGACCTGGGAATCCCGAGGCACAACCTCTACTTGTGTTTACTAATGCTGTCTGTGCTAATCATGCTAACCCAAAGCTCCATCTTTAGCCTGCTGGCAGTCGCGGTAGAGCGTTATGTTGCCATTTTTATGCCTTTCCAATACCATCGGCTCATGACACCTCGAAACGCGGTGCTGATTTTGTGCGTGACTTGGACGCTGGCTTTTCTAATTGGTTTGGTGCCGCTGATGGGTTGGCACAAGCCTCCGCCTGAATCGGGCTACTGTTTCTTTGTGTTTGTGGTGGATATGACGTACATGGTCTACTTTAACTTCTTCGCGTGCGTCTTGGCTCCACTGGTGGTCATGTTTCTCATTTACGCACAGATTTTCGTCACGGTTAAGCGTCAGATGAGGAGGATCGCTGCCGAACGCGGAGGTGCAGGAAACACAGAGGGAACGGCGAAGATGAAGAAAGAGATGAAGATGGCAACTTCCCTCTTTTTAGTCCTTTTCCTCTTCACTTCATGCTGGATTCCGCTTCATATTATTAACTGTTTCCTGCTGCTGTGCCCGTCGTGTCCTGTTCCTCTACCGCTTTTATTAACGGCTATTATTCTCTCCCATGCTAACTCAGCTGTTAACCCGTTCCTCTATGCATACAAGATGAAAACCTTCAGAAACGCCTTCAAGAGCATCTTCATGTGCTGCAGGGGAATCAGTGATGGCGAGGATGCATGATGAAGGAGGAGGAAACAGCATGCAAAGACCCTGAATGATAAAGCTTGGTTTAATACCAGAGTAAAGACTGAAAAGAACTTTTAATAAAAAAAGCATTGAGATTGAAAATGGAAAACGAGATTTGTATTTTGTCCCTTTTGTCTTTATATTTTAAAGCCCACAATAATTTAAAAGGGAAAATGTTGTTTTTAAAATGACATAAGGTTGAATAATTTGTTGGAAATTTACTTGTGATAGTTTAAATACTCCAATAGTAAATTACAACGGCATTAAAAAAAAGCTTATGGGTTGTTGTGATGTATTGTAGTATTAATTAAATGATATAAAATAATTTTACAGTAAAATGTAAAATCACTATACAAACATTTGTCTGCATTATTTTTTCTAGAGATATATAGAATATAATATTTTTACGATGCACAACAATCCAGACGTCAGCATTAATGCATAGATACAAAATCACTTAAAGAGAAAAAAAGCTGAAAATAAAAGATGAAAAAAGGCGAAAGGTCATTGCACACTGAAGTCTGAAATATTCACATGCGTTTTTTTTTTCACATCCATCTGCAAAAAATGTCACGTAAACAAACCTTGCACACTGAGTCCGATGTGTATTTATTATTCCATTACAAAAAACTGCAAATCATTTGTCTTAGTGTGTTTATACAGACAACTTGGTTTAGGCTGTCTGGACTCTGTATCATGCAGCTGGGTGGTTTTTGGTTTTGCAACTCTGTTCACAAACACAAACATGGTTCAAAAAGTAATGTTTATTTGTTTTACTCTACTGCTTCGTCAATATGGAAGGTCATTATAATTACTATAAAAAAAAAAAACGGGTGAAAATAAATGGTAAGTTTGTGTGACCAAGTGAGCAAATTGGCCTCAGTGCGATCATATAATAAAGCCTGGAGCCCTGAAGTAAAGTTCTACTGAGAAACCTGCAACCACCGACTTCCACAGCATTTGTTTTTCTTACCATGCAAGTCAATGGATACAGCAGGGGCGGACTGGCCATCTGGCCAATTCTGGCAAATGCCAGAAGAGCCGGACCATTTTTTAAATGTGGGCCTGTCAGCTATTTATTTTATTTTATTTTTTCATATGTATTGCTTTTTTTTTTTTACATGTAAGCAGCTTTTATCTCTTGCAAGATGTGAATATTATGATGATGATGATGATAATGATAATAGTAAGAATATTAATCAATTTTAAGCATTGGCCCAATCGGCAATGACAGGCTGGTTTCGAGATGGGCCGACCCAATCAGAGGTTACGCAGACGTAATCAAGATCTGCCAAGAATGTCCAACACACAGTAAGTGCAACAAATTGTCAGAGATGGACCATAAAAAGGGAAAGGCAGTCAAGTCAGACAATGCCAAATACATAAAATTAACTGAACTAGTCTCGAAAGGGGGCAGAGCAGTGGCACAGTAGGTAGCGCTGTCGCCTAACAGCAATAAGGTCGCTGGTTCCCTCAGCTGGGTCAGTTGGTGTTTCTGTGTGGAGTTTGCATGTTCTCGTGGGTTACCTTCTGGTTTCCTTCACAAGTCCAAACACATGCTATAGGTGAATTGGGTAGTCCAATTGGGAATTGGTTATCCCAGTAATGGGTTGCAGCTTTGAGGGCATCCGCTGTGTAAAACATATGCTGGATAAGTTGGTGGTTCTAAGATTAATAAAGGGACTAATCCGAAAAAAAAAATTATGACATGATTGCATATATAAATGGGTCGTTTTTGTTCCAGTCACATACATCAAATGTGTAAATATTTCTTAAATATGGTACTGCTTATAAAATGTTACCATCTGTACACCAATATAAGTAGTGAATGTGCGTGTCCGTGGGTGGGGCTGTGTCGGTGTGGTAATGTGGGCTGGTGTGGCTACAATGCCAGGGCTGATTTTTAGTCCCAGTCCGCCCCTGGGATTCAGGTTTTCAGCTTTCTTCAAAATATCTTCTTTTGTGTTCAACAGATGAAAAGAAAATAAGGTTTGAAAACGCTAAAGGTTGTTAAACAGAGTACAAAGCTTCAACACACAGACTAATGACACACCCCACACAAACTCTTTGCATAGTCATCACTGCATTCATACCAGCATAATGTAGCATGCACTGCACTTTAACTGAACCCTTACTTATAAAACAATACTGCTTACAATATTTACCCACCAATAGCCAAGAGATGTGTACAACTTTTTGACTGTGTACTTGTCTATTTTGTGTTTACATTTGTGTGCACTGTGTGTTTTTCTTCTACGTATTGTCTTTTACATATTTATTGTAAATAGTATTTTGTTTTGAAGTATGCTGTTGTATTTTGCACTGTCTGGACGCAAGCTTTTCACTCATAGCACCTGTGCTGCTGCAGATGATGATGATGGTGTGACAAATACAGGAGAATTGATTTGAAGCAGTGCATGTTTTCTAATTTGACAAATCATCTTGGACTCATCTGCAGCAGACCTTAAAGCTCAATTCTTTTATTCACATTATCAACCACTAAAAATACAATCCAATTAACAGTACAAGATAACTGTGCTTTTTTGTAGTTTTTCTTTTGTATTATGTATTATCTGCATTTGCATTATTGTTATGCTGTCTCTTGGCCAGGTCGTCATTGTAAACTTCTTCTCAATCGACTTATTGGTTAAATAAAGATAAAAAAAATATATCAATAAATCTAAAGCTCACCCTTCGCTCTTCACAGCAGGAAGCCGTTTCTTCAGCTCCTCTTTGTCTTCATCTCGTAGAACTGCGAATCCTTTGAGCTGGGCAGCGCTGTACTCTGGTTTAAATATCAGTTCCTCCCGACGACTCACAAAGCAGCCGGTGTGGTACCAGCGATCGATTAGACCAAGCTGAGGTTTCTCTGGGTCCACAGTCTTCTTCGACACACGGATCTGGTCCTGAAAATCATCAGGGAACAACAACAAAAAAAACTTACATCTTTACAACTTCTGCTCAGATAGAACACTTGCAGGGGTGGAACTAGGGCTGCACAATACTGTATATCGTTTCAGCATCAATATCACAATGTGTTCATTTGCAATAGTCACATCACAAGAGTCTGGATCATAATTCATCATTTGCATGTGTTTTTGAGGCCTGTGACAGTATGAGGGTTTTAAAGGCATTCAGGCATAAGAAATTGTACCGTTTGTAACTTTGTGTTATGTATAACTTTATGCAATGATTCATTTTATTGAATTATTTACACAATGAACACTATGCAGTATTACTATTCAATTGCTGTATATCTGAAGACACTGTTTAAAATAAATAAAACGCAGTTTATTTAATTTGTATAATTTTCTTCATTGTATTTATCCATGCTTGTAGATAGTTTATTATATTTCATGCAGATGCCCTCACATACAGAATCACCCCCGCCAATCTAAAATGATCAATTCTTTCCAAATAGAAATATTCAAGTCATTTGTTGAAAATGTATTCATATCGTAATATATAAATATAGAGAGAGAAGTATACTGATTAAGATCATAACTGTAGAGTGCATTTACACCATGGCCATATTATCTATGTAAATCAGGGTTGGGTCAATAGATGATGCCATCGTCTATCGCCAATGGTCGACAGACATCACGATGCTAAGCTGACATCATGATCCTCTGCCCCGCCCCTGTTGCAGCAGCAACCCGCTCACAAAAAGACCCCATTTACACTAATACATCTTAGTTTTAAAATGGCATTTTAGAACAAAACAGATCCACGTCCATACAGGCGTTTCATCTAGCGTTTCCTCTTTCCACACTACACTGTTGAAACCACACACACACATGCACGCACGCACACACGTGCGCGCGCGCTGCATCCTATGTGCACGTATGAGCTCCAGGCAGTCAGCGGGTGCTTTGAGCACAAACCCCAGAGAGCAGTGCACGTTCAACAGCTTATCAAGGATGTACCGATGGATTGTGTCTCACTAGTTGTTAAATGTGATGTATGTATAACATGTCTTCATTGATTTTTTCTTTTCAAGATTTTACAATAATTCAAACCCAATACCCAAAACTTACCCTAGACAGGCTTAGGGAAAAAGATAATCTTTATAAAAAAATTATTTAAAATAAAAATATAATTTTATAGTAAATTAATTAATTAATAAAAAAAATAATAATAAAAAATAATTCTAATCATGCACCAATTAACATTCCACAATTTCAGACTTACAAAGCTTCTTTAATATCTCAGTTTTTACAAAGTTCAAAAACACCTCCCAGATATCACAAAATTCAGAGGATTTTTTCCTTATAAATGTGATATTTAATTAATCTGGTCTCAGAATAATTGAAGGAATTGAAGGAATCTAACAACTCTTCAGTCTTTTGAATCTATCAGTTAACGTGTCACAGCGTCAGAACACTGCTTCAATCTTTTTGCTTTCATGCTTGTACTTAGTAATTTTAGCGAAAACCTACTGTTACCACCTTTTTTTACCAACCAGTTTTGTTGATGCCATTATAATGACACAGATCACTCTGACTATTCATGCCAGAGTCCTGCGTAAAAAAGTGATTGACAGGTGGTCATTTGTGTGTAACTTATCTTTACTTATTTATGATTTGGTTATGGGTAAAACAAAGACCATGCAGGTAGTTGAAACAGTAGGCTACAAATAATTAATTTGTTATGAATGAATTAATTATTCATAATAAATAATTAAGTCACCGCGACCTATGACGACGATGCCATCGTCCATCCTGATGTTTCACATTAAAAATTGCACAATGCCAAATTGGTCGACATTGCCCAACCCTACTGTAAACACACAAAAACAACATTAACGTTAAAGCAGAAAAAGCTGTAAAAAGCTCATTCCCAGCCACTAGACTGTTCTGACAGGTTTTTCGAGTGTCATTGAGTGACAAATGTAAAAGTATGTTGTGACTTTACAGGAGTTATTTTTATGGATTATAGTGAAATTTAGAAGGGTTTTCTACATCTTTTTTTAAAAGCATGATGGGTAAACACGAAAGCCGTAATGAATATATTAAAACATGTGCTTGTTTGTGATATAAATTTGCAATAATAACAAAAAAATATAACTTGTGGATCTCCATACTTCCGTGTGCAGCCATGATTGTGTATGGTGTTTTCTGGGAAATTTTCCTACCCCTTTTGTTTTCGAGTGAGGTCCTAAAATCTCAGTTTCAATGTCTATCTAACCCAGGGGTGTCCAAACCCAGTCCTGGAGGGCCGGTGTCCTGCAAATTTTAGTTCCAACCCCAATTTAACACACCTGAACCAGCTACTCAAGCTCTTTCTAAGTATACTAGAAAGCTCCAGGCAGGTGTGTTGAAGGAAGTTGGAGCTAAACTATGCAGGACACTGACCCTCCAGGATCGAGTTTGGACATCCCTGATCTAACCCCTCCCCTTGGCCCTACACCTTCAAGCTAAAGGGAATTGGGACAAGGGGGAGCATTGGGCCTAAGTAATTCATGACCTGCTCCAAACCAAACCATTTGCAATCAAGGATAACACAAAATGCACCTTTTCAATTTTCTGATCGCAGCCCTTGCAGGTGCTTCTGTTGGATTTAGCATACTCCACTGCAAAGTCATTCAGCGTCTTCTCTCCTTTAGCCGCTCCCTTCTGTCCTCCTTTCCCTGTAAAGCAACAAGGATTAGTGAATTAATTTAGGACTTACAGACTTAAGACTAACTGCTCACCAGCCCGTGTGGCAAAACACAGTATACCTAAATAGGAGATCATATCTATTTTAAACAAATCACCTCCTGTAGCACCTCCACTCTCAATGGCTGTCTTCACTTTCTCTTGGTCATCCCAGCGGAGGTCAGTAAATCCAGATATATCAGAAGGAGACTGAACTGCGGCCCGGAGCCAAAAGCAAGAAAAATGGTGCCAGTGAGGGACTTTGCCATCAAACATGGGAGACTGTGGAAGAAAACCAAGAAGCTTGCTATATTAGGCAACAACAATAATTAATAATAATAATTCCTTACATTTATATAGCACTTTTCTGGTCACTCAAAGCACTTTACAAATTTTCGGGGTGCAGTGTGCAGCAATCACCTGGATGTCATGACGGGAGCCATAGTGCGCCAGACCACACAGCACACACCAGCTGATTGGTGGAGAACACAGAGTGATAAAGCCAATTATGATATGGGGATGGTTAGGAGGCCATGATGAGGCCAGGGGGCAAATGTGGCCAGGATGCCAGGGTTAAACCCCTACTCTTTTTCAAACCTCCTGGAATTTTTAATGACCACAGAGAGTCGGGACCTCGGTTTAAGGTCTCCTCCGAAAGACGGCACTCACTGAGCAGTATTAAGTGCCCCATAATATTATGGGGCGTTAGGACCCACACAGACTGCAGGTTGAGCGCCCCCTGCTGGCCTCACTAACACCACTTCCAGCAGCAACCTAGCTTTCCCATGTGGTCTCCCATCCAGGTCCTTAGTAAGTGTAGCCCTGTTTAGATCAGTGGATGACCATGTGAGAGTTGCGGAGAGCTAGATGCCGATTATATTAAATAAAAAGCCTGCAATCTGAAATTACAAGCGCAAATAAAGAGTCGCAGCAGTTTGGTCATTTTCGATCTTTTATGGTTAAATATTTCCATTGAAATATATCAAATATAGAATATTTAACAGGGAAGCTGTGGGGCAGCTGACGGTTAGAGAGTTAGACTTGCAATCCAAAGGTTGCAGGTTCAAGTGCCAGTACCAGCAGGTATTGTTGGGGGGAATATCCACCTCAATACCATGGCTGAAATGGTTCCCTTGAGTAAGGCACCAAACCCCAACGACTCCCCGGGTATGTGTTCATTGGTGAAAGTCACTTTGGATAAAAAGCACCTGCTTAGTGCATAAATGTAAATTATCATACAACTTCAAAAAAAATGACAATTCTGCCATCATTTACTCGCCTTTATTCCATACCAGCTCATAAAATTTGTTGTTCTGTATTTCCACAGTATTTTTTATTTTACTTTGGAACTGAATGGTTTCAAGCATACTTCAATCTATCTATCCATCTATCCATCCATCTATCTATCTATCTATCTATCCATCCATCCATCCATCCATCCGTCTGTCTGTCTGTCTGTCTGTCTGTCTGTCTATATATCTATCAGAGCTGCACAATTAATCGAAAAAAGATTGCGATCTCGATTCGACCCTCCAGACGATCTTAATCCAGATTCTGCCAGTCATATTTTCAAGTTCAGGAAAGAAGCAAAGGCGGCTGCACGAGTCTTTTCATTGTTACACATACATTGCTCAGCGACATGGACACCTTCAAATGATGTTAAGAGAGTCACATACTGTATTTATAAGGTACAATTTACCTAAAAAGTTAATTTTTGTCTTCAAATAATGCTGTATTCGGGGCCGGGAAATCACACAGGACGTGAGCTGTTGACAGTGAGCTGTTACCACATAGAGGGCACACGCGCGCCCTACTTAATGATAGACATGCACGCTTCTACTTTAGTGAACAGAACCTGCATAGGCTGTGAGTAACAGGTAATAAAGATGTAAATAATATTCAGTTTGTGGCACAGAGTAATTGTTTGAGAGCCACGCGCTAAGTATGAACAGCACTTAGCAGTGAAAATGAAAGCGTGCACATCATTTAAATAATCATATCGCATTTTACAGCAATGATTACAATATCTATCCATCCATCCATCCATCTATCCATCCATCAATCCATCCATCCATCCATCTATCTATCTATCTATCTATCTATCTATCTATCTATCTATCTATCTATCTATCTATCTATCTATCTATCTATCTATCCATCCATCCATCCATCCATCCATCTATCCATCTATCTATCTATCTATCTATCTATCTATCTATCTATCTTCTTTTGTGCTCAACAGAACAATTTAAAGGTTTGGAACAATTAAAGGCAGAGTAAATAAGACAATTTTAATTTTGGGGTGAACTATCCCCTTTAATGGTGCAGAAATATTGTACAAATGTAAACAATACATTAATAAATCGTCAAACAAGTCAAATAGTAAGACATTCAGAAGAAAAAAAAAAGATTTGCACTGAAAAATAAACAGGACTTACTCAATTTGAACAATTTTGGTCCCACTTTTTTTTCAACTACTATGTACTTACATGAAAAAATAAATACAATGCACTTAATGTGTTCATGATGTATTGCTGAACACTTCTGGTCCTCCTGAGGTGGAATATGGGTAGGTTTAGGGACTGGATTGGTGGCGTCTTTATGGTTTAAGGTATAAGCAATGATTAACAGTGAAATAACAAACGAACTTACAGATGTATTTACATGCAGGTATTTAACCAAGCATAAGTATCATGTAAAAACACATATTTACACAAGAAGTACATTGTAATGAATTATTAATTTCAGTGCGAGTACATTTTAGTTAAGGTTGCTTAATCTAAAGTGGGACCCACATTTTTACTGGTCTTCATTGTATTAAATTAGTGTAGCTTTGTTTCATTAAATGTTTTCTCAAATGAAACACGTTTCCAGCGAAATTGTCCAAATCACACCGCTGTTTTGAGCTAATGTTCATAGGAAATCACTGCTGACCTGCTTCACTCAGTCAAGTATGTTAGTTTGTTTATTTAATTTTTTAGCAAAAGCACTCTTAAACATTAAACATTAATTAGGTGAAAGTAAATAAAAGTGTTTTTTGCACATACAGGGCTTACAAAATCTGGGGCTATTGTTTTTTCATTCGGGCTACCAAAAAGCCTGGTGGGTTATCTAGGTACCAGACTTTGCAAGCCCTGACATATTACAATCTATGGCTTATAATGAATCTATAAAATAAGGCAATGAGTAATAAGAAATTCAGAAATAAATTGACTTGCATAAAAAATAAACAGAATTTAGTCAGTTTAAACATTTTACTGAGATTAATTACAATGATATGATGCAGCTTTGTTTATTTTCTTGATGTATTCTCAAATTAAACTGGTTTTCAGCAAATCTTGTGCAAATCACAGTTATTTTAAGCTAATATTCATAGAAAAGCACTGCTAATCTACTTTAAGTATGGACGTTTACTTAAAAAAAGTACACCTAATCATTAAACATTAATTAGCTGAAAGTGTAGCCTAGTAAATAAAAGTGGTTTTAGCACATATTACTATCTATATAGCTGCATAATAAATCAATAATAAGGCAATGAGTAATGATGAATTCAGAAAATTAATAAGACTTAAATTGAAAATAAACATGATATAGACAATTAAAAATAATAATGAGCTTCATTGCATTGAAATAGTGCAGCTTTGATTATTTTCTTAATGTATTCTCAAATTAAACTGGATTCCAGAAAATCACACAGCTATATTTAGGCTAATATTCATAGGAAATCACTGCTGATCTACTTTAAGTATGGTAGTTACATTTATTTTTAAAAGTACATTTAAATAATTCAACATTAATTAGCTGAAAGTGTACCCTAGTAAATAAATGCGGTTTTAGGAAATATTACGATCTATATAGCTGCATAATAAATCAATAATAAGGTGGCGAGTAATGATGAATTCAGAAATAAATATACTTGTATTGAAAATAAACAGGTTTTAGTCAATTTAAACATTTTACTGAGCTTTATTGCATTGAAATAGTGCAGCTTTATTTATTTCCTTAATGTTTTCTCAAATTAAACTGGTTTCCAGCTAATACTGTGCTAATTACACAGCTATATTAAAGCTAATATTCATAGGAAAACACTGCTTATTATTTGATAACAGAGGACCATTTAAAGGGATAGTTCACCCAAAAATGAAAATGCTGTCATCATTAGCTCATTCTTCACCTGTTACAAACCTATTAGAGATTCTTTCTCCAGTAAACACAAAAGAAGACAGTTGGGAAAAAGCTGAAAACCTGTAACCATTGACTTCTATAGTATTTTTCTACAATGGAAGTGAATGGGTACAGGTTTTCAGCTTCCTTCAAAATATCTCCTTATGTATTCAACAGAAAACAACAAACTCATAAAAATTTAAAACCATTTGGGGGTGAGCAAATTTAAAATGTTTAGGTGAACTATCCCTTTAAACTCATCTTGGGCCTTAGAAACCTGTTCATTCATTTGTGTACGTACACTTACTATACATTTCGCCACGCATACCTGCACAACCAAACGCATTTCCACCAAATATAGAATTTTAAGGATGTTTCTGAAGCAGAGCTAATTCCAAAAAGTTGCACACAACAATAATTCCCTCACCTGCACCATGATGGCCATCCTCAGCGAGTCCTTAGCAATGTTGTCTTTGCATTTCTTGCATGAGGCGCGTCCGCTTTTTGCATATTCGGCTTTGTACAGCTTGTCGTCCTGTGAGTCGGCCATCTCTGCAGATATTTCTGTTAAAAGGAGAAGTTTGCAGACTAATTCTAGTCAGACAGGCCGACAACTCACGTTACAGCGCAATGAGGAATAGCGCGCAGTCAGTCCGCGTGCAGAAGCACCCGCGCAGAATACCAGCCCAAACCAATCGAGCCCACATTCCTCTAGTAGTGGAGAATATGCGCAGACAAAGCTAATCGAACTCAAAGCTCCTCAACACTGAAGAAAAATCTTTTAAGTAGGCAGGGGCGCAATTGCAAATTTACTTAAAGGTATGCGGGTTCAAGTTGGGGTGGTATAATAAAATTAATAATAATAATAATAATACCTTTTATTTTTAGGCGCCATTTGATTTGATTTTGATTTTATGCGCCTTTAGGCAGTATGATTTTCTTTATCTAATAAAATACAATATTATCATGTAATTTAAACGCAAAATAAACATTCTTAACAAAAAATATTTATTTATTTTGATTAATAAAAACTTTAAGTATTAATAATTTCAAAAATAGTTTTGGCACACCCCCGCTCCCCCCATGTATGGCGCCCCTAAGCCCCGCATATAGTGCACACCCCTTTTTTGCGCCTCTGTAAGTAGGGCAAGAAAAAATCTGCGGACATTTTTTTAACTTTTTCTGCAAAGAATTTTGTTAAAAATCTGCGGATTTATGGAATAATTTTGGGAGTATCAAAACTAAAACCTTCATATATGAATTAAAAAATAATAGCTTTCTAACTTGTATTTAATGTTTACAATGCAAATTCAATTTGATCCACTTTATTTGGTAAACAAAGCAAGTGTCTCATATAATATCTCTACTAAAAGACAGAAAATAATACTTTACAAACTGTACTGTAAATAAATCATACGAATATTTTCACATTAGCCAATAATTATCCTAAAATGAATTTACAAACTGAATAAATATACATTTTAAAACATTTACACAAGTAAATAAACAGAATCAATGATGGTCTAAAATTATGTGGAATTCTGCGTGTGCAGATTCCGCGTTGGCCTAGTTATATGTTTTGTGTCATATGTTTACACAGTGCTCAGCATAATTGTGAATACACCCCATTTAGAAAATGAATATTTTACCCATTTATCAAGAAATATAGGTAATATATTTTGGTGCATTTGAACAAAACAGATGAAACAGATATATTTAATAAAATAATATTTTAGTCACTAAACATCTTTAGAAATAGAAAGAAAAAATATGCTTCAATTATTGCGAAATATTGGGGGAAAATTACAAACTACAAAATTTCACAAAATTTTATACATTTTTTTGTTTCTCTTGGATTTTGCTCTTTGAAAAATTATTTAATATTTTCCCTAACTTATACATTTGGACTACAAATTTAGTTATATAAGCTCCAGATTTGGCTTCAGTCCAGACTAATTTAATGTATATGCACAAATATAAAATATCGTCAAGCTTCCTATATGAAATATTCCTAATATCAAATAAATCAGCTAATAAAATTAAGTTATTAAAACTATATTGTTTAGAAATAAAAAAATCTTCTTAAATGAAAAAATAAACAGGGAGGCTAATAATTCAGACCTTCACTGTGTGTGTGTGTGTGTGTGTATTCATTAAAGCCATTATATATTTTTTATAAAACACAATAGTAACCATACTGTACACTCTATCTCCTTTAAAGATTGCTTACTTTTTTTTATTTTGTTTTGAATCTAAATGAAGATAATTATAGTCATATGATACATTATAAGTGTTGGGGAAAATAATGCATTACATGTCATGTGTCATTTTCATCCACCTATCCGGGGTCGGGTCGCGGAGGCAGCAGTCTTAGGAGAAAACTCCAGACTTCCCTCTGCCCAGACACTTCCTCCAGCACCTCCAGGGGGATCCCGAGGCGTTCCCAGGCCAGTTGAGAGATATAGTCACCCAGCGTGTCCAGGGTCTTGCCCGAGGCCTACTCCCGGTGGGACATGCCTGGCGCACCAGGTAGCCATCCTGGAGGCTTTGGAAACAGATGCTCAAGCCACCACAGCTTACTTCTCTCAATGTGGAGGAGCACCGGCTCTACTCTGAGCTCCTCCCTTTCTATAAGGGTGCACCCTGCGACCCTGCGAAGGAAACTCATTTCGGCCGCTTGTGTCCGAGATCTTGTCCCTTCAGTCATGACCATAGGTGAGAGTAGGAACGTAGATTGACCGGTAAATCGAGAGCTTTTCCTTTTCGCTCCTTCTTTACAACAATGGACTAGTACATTGATTGCATTACTGTTGCCACTGCACCAATCCGCCTGTCAATCTCACGTTCCATCTTTCCCTCACCTGTGAACAAAACCTCAAGATACTTGAACTCTTCCACCTGCGGACTTTCCTTCCAACCTGGAGATGGTAAACCAACTTTTTCTAGTGGAGCACCATGACCTCGGACTTTGAGGTGCTGTTTCTCATTTCACTCGGCTGCAAACCGCCCCAGTGCATGCTGAAGGTCCATATTCGATGAAGCCAACAGAACAACATTGTCTGCGAATAACAGATGAAATCCTGTGGTCTCAGAATCAGACCCCCTCCAGTCCAAGGCAGCTCTTTGAAATTCTGTCCATAAGAATTATGAACAGAATTGTGACAAAGGGCAGCCCTGCTGGAGCCCAACATGCACTGGAAACAAGTCTGACTTATTGCCGGCAATGCGAACCAAACTTCTACTCATACTGTTCATACAGGGACGAGTATGAATTGTAAGCATTACAATATTGAGTTAACCCCCCAAAAATTAACTTGTTGCATTACTTATTTTTCTATGGCCAGTAATGTGTTAAGTTACTTTTGAGTTACCAGGTTTTGTTTCTTAATTTTTTTTAAAATGAAGGAGCTCTGCAATTAATAATACACTGCAGATACATCTTCATTTAGCTTTAAAAAAACTCACATCAAAAAATTATATTTTAGGATATTGTTATCTTCTGAGAACTTCCTGACTGCAGTGCAATTTATTTATTTTAAAGCTAATTAATTAAACTAAAAGGTTACTTATTAAGTAATACGCTACTTTATTTAACAATATGTTGACATTTCAATCTAACACCCATGCAAAAAGGGCAACAAAGCCCTCTATGATGACACTGTTTTATAAACAATTTATTGAATGGATTTTATCTTTCTGCATTGTAGCTTGCTACGGTAATCTGAGTTAAATGAGAACAGGTTGGGTAGCCTTGTGAAGGTTGCAGGCAAGATCATTGCTTTTAACCAAAGTGGGCCAATGGTAATTCACCAAAAATATATGTTGAAGAGAGCCCAGGTTATCTTATGCACCCCAGATTACATATTACATTCTGTTTCAGCTGCTGCCATCAGGACGTTGTTTTAGAGTTCCTACAGCAAATGCAGGACAAACAGAATTAGAAATTATTTTATAATGGTGACCATTGGGTTATTAAAAGAGTCCAAACTGATTTATTGTATGTTTTATGGTAACAACCTGGTAATCTGTACATGGAACTCGACCTGTGTTATGGCAGCTTGCTGCAAATTAAGTTTCCTTGATTCATTGTTTTTCTTTTCAGCTTAGTCCCTTTATCAAACTGGGGTCGCCACAATGAAATGAACCGTCAACCTACAGTACCTAGCATGTTTTACACAGCGGATGCCCTTCCAGCTGCAACCCATCACTGGGAAACACCCATACACACTCATTCACACACACATCCACTATTGCCAATTTAGCCTACCCAATTCACCTATAGCGCATGTCTTTGGACTGTGGGGGAAACCGGAGCACCCGGAGGAAACCCACGCAAACACAGAGAACATGCAAACTCCACACAGAAATGCCAACTGACCCAGCTGGGACTTGAACCAGTGACCTTCTTGCTGTGGGGCGACAGTGCTTACCACTGAGCCACCCTCATATTTTTACAGTAAAACAAATAAATTAGACATTGAAAATAGGTAGCATTTCAGTCTTCTTTGAGGTAAAAAACATTTTTATTGATCACAAATCTAATGCAGGCGTGACAGTCTGCATCAGTGGTACATATGAGGTATTTTCTGCTGTCATGGCATGGATAAGGAACAATTCTGTAAACTGCATTCACGTGATTATTTGTACACAGTGACGTATAAACCTGTCTCAAAGCAAAAACTTTACTAAATGCATGGCAAGTTGTAGGTTTCGTTTTATTGCAAGAGGTCCACACTGAAAATAACAACACAGTATTTTTAAAAACATGTAGAAAAACACTCATTATTCTAGTTCATGTGTTGATTTCTAAGATATATGAGGTATCCTTTCGAAAGATGAAGGCAGTGTATCTGTCAAGTTAACAGTGAATCCGTCATAACTTTAAGTTGCTAAAGTTGCTGTTTGTCAGAGTGAAACCTCCATTGGTGCCTCTCTGTTTTTCCCGGTGAATGGCTTGTACAAGGCCAAAGACTACAGCAGCAAGGGTGGTTCTCCCGGTGTGTCCGTTCTTCCCTCTGTCTGCAATCCCATTACTTGACACCAAACGTCTTTTGGTGCTGATGAAGTAAGTCCGGACACGTCCCTTTCTCTCACTGACGCCCTTTATGTATATCTCGCCACGCAACTCGAGCACGAAGCCCCAGTCTGCGAGAATATTACGTGTGGCCTCAGGGACCTGAATTCGCCCGCTGACTCCAGTACTGTCCATCCGACTGGCCAAATTAACTGTCATGCCCCAGATATCATACTGGGGTTTGGTTGCACCGATGACGCCAGCGACAACAGGACCATGGGCAATTCCTATAGAGCACATTGAAGTTAAGAATACAGCATAGTCAATTTATGTAAAGGAGCAGTATGCAAGTTTGACACCCATTGGTTGAATTAGGTATTGCACACCTAATTTAAAACAAGCGCAAGGACAGGTTGCCAGATGGACTATATGCACACAGAGTTTACATTTTTTTTTAGCCAGGCAGCCCAAGTGCTTCCCGTGAACTGTCTGTCCATTACAAAATTGTCAGGTTTAAGATCTGATTTCTTTAAAAATCTGCAATATGAAGTGGGTC